TTTTTTTTTTTTTTGTACAGCTTTTTTTTTTTTTTCTTTTTGGTTTTAATTTCAGGGAAAAAACAAGGCAAGCAAGCTAAAACTACCGTGGGGTCAAATGAATCATGCATGGTTAGAAAAATTAATACTAAAACTACTGTTAAAGGGTTCATAGTCTTTGCAATGATTTAGTAGAAAAAAATTCAAAAATTAAATAAAAATAAATTTCTTATTTATGACAAAATAATCAATTTTAGAATAATATTCTGCATGTAACATATTATTTAAGCATGAGGATAGAAGGGGAATAATTTGTTTTCACTTGCTGCAAGATTTCCTTATTCAAGAAAAAACTCAACTATGCAAAAGATCTTGGGAAAATATAACAATTCAACATATTATCAGATACTAGTTTACCCCCTTTTACTAACATGTCTCAGAAAACATTTATTTTTTTATTTTTTTAGTATGTACACTGAGTTTCTTTATAATAGATGAGTAAACAGTTTCAATATAATTAAAATAATCTGAAAAATGATACTAAGCTAATATGTCTTTAGGAGTTTATTCATCTCATAATTTTATTTTAAATTGAAGTAATGAATATTTTCACTTGTTAATCTCCCCATTAAAATGCAGAGTATATAGTCTATTTTAAAAGAAAATACTCCAATAACTACTTCATTTGTGATAACAAGAATAAACTCATTAATCTTGTAACAAAAAAAATTGATACCATTTTTAAATTGCTAAAAAAAGTGATGTTAATTCCCTTCCACTTGTACACTATCTTACCATTATTTTATGGCAGTTAAAAACCATTTTGTGACATTTTTCTCAAACTACCAAAACGATAACATTAAGATCTTTTAAAAATTATTAATAAACTGAGTAATGAGCAGCTAGAAACACTCAAATAAATGAATAAATATGTTTTGATTGCTTACTTCTGACAAGTTAAAATTCCTTTCTTGACTCAGATTTTAAAGATTCACAAAGAGCTAGAAGTCAGCCACTGTGGTTTATTTTGGTTGTTTTTATTTGTAAGATTATTATTATCACAATTTTTAATAAGTGGGTACAGGATTACTAGTTGCAAGACCTAGATTCTAAATCTGGCCCTGTGTCGTATGACTGTAGGCCAGTGAATTAGCCTCGCTCAGGACAGGACAGCAAAAACTACTAAATGACAAACGTGGGGAAGGCATTATTCATTTGTCCTTATTATGATGATTATTTTATGATATGTATCCCATCAATGGGGCTTGTTATACAGCTAGATTAGTAGGTTTACTTAATTTACATAAGCCTTAGAGAAGCCTCCCTGCCAGGTTTACAGAGAAAGCTGCTGGTAATAGGCATACGAGCACATTCCTTATTTTAGCAACTTGAAGAAGAGAAAATAATCCAAGGCTAGCTTTCAACATGGGAGTGAAATTAGATGGGTTGGTGGTCTTTTCAACCCAAAAAGTGGGTATTGTTAAAGGACTCATGGGATGTCTAGAAGTACAGAAAGCCGAGGGGAAAACATCCCTAAATCTAGACCGCTGTTGACCGTGTGGTGCTAAAGTTAGATCATGTTATTAAAATGAAGACCATTGCCAATATATTTGAGTTAAATATATCTATCCATCTCTGTATCAATATCTACTGATTTCTGGGCAAAAGAATTTATGTTAAACCACCTTCAATACTGGTGCCAGAATTTTGGGACGGGTTATTAAAAAATGGTGTAAACAGAGAGCATTAAAAATTATTCAAGTCAGTAGAAAGTTGTAAGTAAGACTCCTATAGAGATGGGAGAGGAACTGGGTCATCACCTGCTCCAGGGTCCATGTAATGACAAAAGGGAAGAGAGAGTTTCACGTGGCTGAAGGCTGGTGAGTCCCCGATCCACCCCAAGTGTTGGAGCCAAAAGTCTCCATGGAATTTATAAAAGCTACTGCAGATCATCAGCTCTACTCAGCCTGAATCAGTTTCTTAGAGCATGGGCTGGGATTGTTAACCAGGATAGCACGAGTATGTTATGCTGTGATCTACAGACATGGGGGTGATATTATACTAAATAAATATAGGAGGAAACTGAGTTTATAAAGCCAATGATCCCTTCAAAGTTGTAGGGCCAGAGGCTTCACCTAAAAGTGGAGTGAAGAAAGCAGTTTATTTGCATTTAGGTAATACTCTTGCCTTTTCAAATTATAGCATGGGTTGTTTAATCTGGACTGGCAGCTCCTGGTGGGGATCTAGAGTAGATACCAGATTTGGACCTAATGTACTTTAGACACTTCAGGGGGAAAAAAAAATATATATATATATATATATATATATATATATATATATATTTG